TGTGCTTCTCTTCAAAGCGCACACCTTTATCTCCTGCTAGTCTAAAAGCACCYCAGTCTGAACTGGATCATATTGTCAGAGCGGATGCACTGAGCAGAGCCAACCTGCAACCTTTCTGTACACATGCAGACACAAAGTCGGCCCGATTAGACAAACAGGGACTGATGCGACCTCTGACCCGTGTCAACACCGGCCCCGTTCACCGATTAGAGTCACGGCCCGTGCATGTTCTCCATCTATTTACAGAGAGTCAAAGTTCAGCCGCCACAAACAATTTATGCATGACGCTGTCCATCACAGCCAGCCTGACTAATGTGCAAGCCTCTGAATAATCTTGGGGGGGGCGCAAAGTGATGGGGAGTCATTGGGCACATTGGCGACTCGTAATGTGCGATCGGATGGCGGGGACACGACCRCTGTAATTGCGAGGTGTCAAAGCGTCCTGCTGCCACCACAGAGGGCTGGCTCCAAACCCGGGTGACACCGTGGGGGCATGGAAGTGGGGGCTCAGGTCAAAGCAGATGACACCTCAGAGTCAGGAGGCGGTGACATCTGACTCGGAGACAAGCAGGGGAAAATTTCAAAGAACAWTAAATATTAGCTAAAAAAAACCTGCCTGTGGCTTTTAGAGCTGATTCTGTTTTTGTATGGTGCGGCATGAGGGCCAAAATTGACTATTGTGCAACCAGGGGTTGCTACATCCTTGTAGCAGGAAGCTATATCTATTCCTAATCCAGCTATTGATCTGATTAATGATAGGCTGGCACCACTAACAGAGGCCGGCGCTGGCAAATGAGAAGGAGACTGTTCATTTGCATTAGCATCATAGAAGCTAGCGACTAGCATGGAAAGGCTGGCATTAGCAGTGAAGAGYCTAGCGACTAGCGTGCCTAGGCTAGTGACCCTGCCAACTCACTCTGCTGTCCATTGGCAGGGACAGATCGGCGTTAGCATTGGTATCTAAAGCTGTATAAAGTAATGTTTTATGTTTATTATTTATGCTCGACGTCACGTTGAACCGTAAAGTCTGTCTAAAGAACACCTGTCGGTGCATGTCACTTATGGATTTTTTATGTCAACCATTTTTGTTAACGTTTTTTTTATTCAAAAGTTTGTGTCTAATAAAGTAGGTGAGCAGCTTAGGTGTGCTCTAGCTTCTCTAATGCTAACGCCAGCATATCCATGCTAGTCACTAGCCTCTCTAATGCTAACACCAGCTTATCCATGCTAGTCACTAGCCTCTCCAAAGCTAACACAAATGATTTGTCTCCTCATTTGCCAGTGCCGGCCTCTCAGTTACGGTTACCAGCTTATTGCTGGCTTATAGATATAGCCTCCTGCTAACAACTCCTGGGCTGTGTCCAAAACGGCAGGCCAGGTCCTCCGAAGGCCGAATTTGTCGGCCGCATACGTGACAGCGCCGCGACGAAGGCCGTCCAA